TTGATGACTATTCGAATGGCCACGAACAAGTCTATAAATAGCCAGCCTTTCTACCAAAAAATTCACACCATTTTCATTGCAAACTTTCTGTGTTTTGAATCTCATTTCCCTCTTTCTCGTTCTGATATTGTCTCGAAGTAAAACGCACTTCGTTGAGTTCGTTGGAACTCCTACAGACTGCAGTGCTGTTTCCGTAGGAGACGAAAATTCGTTCTATCCTGAGAAACGATTGCTAGACGCCTTTAACACCATTGAAGGCAGCAAATTCGTTTTAAGGAAATATCGTGAAGTCGGTGGACTCGAATTACAATTTTGAATCCTGTTAATCAATTCTTGCATTTAGGTAATTCTGTTGGATTGTTTTCGAAAGAGTAACTTCAAACTCTAAAATCAACACTTTTTACAAAATTCATTGAAGATTTGGACAATTCACTCTCAAAATCACATGCCATTTGTTTCCATTTTAAGTTTATCATTTAAAGCTCTAACCTTTACACGGTACACCACGCGTCAAAACCTCACTGCTTCCCAACTAGTGACCTTCCTGTCTAAAATACCATCAGATTTAACCAAAACAGCGATAAATGACAAGGACTTTACAGTCTTTTCATTCAAACTGCCAATTCGTACAAAAAATCCCGCCGGCTTCCCCGATAATAAGAAGAGGTCTGTCGTAGAGCAATCTATTTCCTCTGAACTCAGTCGGAAACACCGCCATCCGCTGCCACGATCGAGAATGGCTTCAATTTCTTATTTCAACCGATTACCAGCCAAAAATTTCTATATATCCGCGCAGAATTCAAAATTCACATCGAAACCGTCTCTTTCTCCTGTGAATGTAATCAGTTTCTCGGCTAAAATCGCACCACAGAACTCCAATTTAAACACAGAACTTTCGAAGCTGAAGCAGAAATTTTCGGTCCGAGCAGTGAACGATGATGAGTGGGGTCCAGAGAAAGAGCCGGATGCATCAGCGGTAGCAGTGGCAGAGGAGGAGCCACCAAAGGAGCCTGCTGAAATTGACATACTGAAGAAGCAATTGGTGGACTCTTTCTATGGTACAAACAGAGGTTTGACTGCCAGTAGTGAGACGAGGGCGGAGATTGTTGAGCTGATCACTCAGCTTGAGGCGAAAAATCCGACTCCGGCACCCACCGAGGCTCTGACCAGGCTCAATGGAAAATGGATTCTTGCGTAAGTTCCAATATACTTTTTCCTCTAACCGGAATATGAAATTGATTTTATTATATTGAATTTCTGCGGTGGGCCTAATTTGTTGATATTAGTATTTGTTTTGAGTTTTTCAAGCAAAAATTTCAATTTCGTGAACCAAATGTGTTTTTATATTAAGATCCTGTTGAACAACATCACATGTGGTCATCGATTAAACCCGGTAGAAAATTATTAATAAAGAGAAGATGAATGAGAAAATGTTAAAATTTGTCTGTTATATCACTGGAAGGATTCAGCAAAGCCAGATGATCAATATATATGGAATTGCTTCTAGAGTCTGGAGATGCAGACCATGGAAATGGATATATGTGTATACACCTGTTTATTTTTCAATGGTAGTAGTGAATAATGAGATGATTTAGTTCATGCTGCTCTATACAACTTTTCACTTGGTTTCTATGATGATGGGACCAATAATCATGTATCCTGGCAGTGGAGTTTGTATTTTGCCTCATTTTTAAATCTATCCAACGCCATTGATAAATATGAAGGTCCTGACTCCTGTCCTCACAGTAGACGTTAAAAAAAAAAAAAAAAAAAAAACGGGAG